CGAACCGAACACTGATTTTGGTAATAAAATTCAATGATTTGCAAGCGTTGCTCGTTAGTAAGTCTATTCATGATGAAATGTCAAAGCATACTGAGCATCTTTCTCTTTGACACCATGTCTGAAATCCCACGTGATCTGTCAAATACTAATGCATGAAAATCCTAACCTCAAAAAAATCACCCGTTAGTAAAATAGTTTAATACACATTTTATTTAGATTTTTAATCAAGCTTAAAGTACAATATCGCGGCAATTCAAGCCTATACTTATGTGTATAATTATAAAGGTCAAGGGTAAATATGTTCAATAATATTATTGTTGCACAATATAAAAATAAAAGTCCAAATCAAATATGAAACACTTAAAAATTTATATAAAATCATAAACAGTTACTTAAAATTTTTAAAGTGACAACAAGGACTTTAATTATTTGTAGCAATAATGTCAACAAATACATTTTACATAGTACATATAGTGTCACAAAATTATCCTACCTTACAAATCGTTCAAAGTCATACAAGCGATTTTAACCTTAAAAAATGCAATAATGTAGGCTCATAATGTGCTTTGGATAAGCGTTGCTACTTTTGAAAATTTTCTTTCGAAAAGTTATAAATACATATAGTTAATGTTTTTTCCATTTTTATAGCTGTCGGCTCCGTTTAGAAGAGTCTTACATAGACATAAAGGCATTTGGCGATTTTATTTTGAAGATGCATTTTTGTTCATTTAATGTTCTTATTCTCTTACTTATAAATTAACTTAAATAAAGTACCCGCGGTTATCGTAAATTTGATTTTGTTAAGGTGAAGTCATTTAATTTTTTTCTATGTAATCCGCCGGGTGAAATACGTTCACACAACAAAAATCTTTTAAAAAATTATTTTTTTTGTTTCTTTACTTAAAAAATATATTACAATAATTTAACTGTGTTAGCAGAAACAAAATCATTTCTAACTAGTATAGTGACATCGATTCAAAAAATTATACTCGTACACATTTTTTTTTTTTTTTTAGTTGCATTCATAAACATTTCATAATTAAATACGCATTGTATAAAAAGCACTTTGGATTTTTCACTCTAAGGCAACTTGGTGATATTTCCGCTCTTTTTATTTACTTTTATGATTTTTGATTTTGTATATGCTTGTGTTGTTGTTGCTTTAGCTGGAAGGCGCTTGGAATTACCGGTCAGCCGCGCATGAAATTTGCTTAAAATTAAAAGATGTTCCTTAAAGTTGTTCAGCCGCTGCAAGTGGAAAATCAAAATTTAAATAATTTCACACAATGAAATACGATTTATAAATCAATGTTCAGAGGAAAAAGGTGATAAAGCATTAATTCAAGCAATAAACTATTTTGGAAATAAAAAACGAAATCAATTGGTATTAGGTCATTTTTTTGTAAAATAAAAAAATAAGTTTGCACTCTTCAAGCAAAAACCAATGAGCGATGCATTTGTCTGTCACCTTATATACACTTTGACAAAAATCTATGGGTAGGAAGGGGGAAAAATAAAGTGTTATTGGGTAAAAAATTGTTATTAAAATTGCTTACTTGTGCTGGCTTTGACATGCAAACAGCCAATCGGTTGGGAATTCATCGCGCTTCACAAAATTCGGTTCTTTACAAAAAGTCATTCATATTGATGTAGTTTTTAAAACTGAAGAAGAACATAACAAATAACATAACGAGGTTGCATTTCAAAATATTAATAAACTAGGAATATACATACATACATAGCTATGTATTTATGTAGGTAATTGCAATTAAAATATTGAAATGGATATGAAAATTACGATACAGAAACACAAAACATGTAGAAAGCATATGAAATGGGTGCAAATAAGAGACACAAGAAAAGTATGGAAAAAGAAATGGTAAGCAAGGAATCTGCACAGATCGATCGATTCGTTCTTCTGCCTGAACTCGAGTAAGCTGTTTCGCGGAACAAAATCTAATTTGGAATCGAATTGGCTGCAAATGTTTTCTCTTATCGTATAATCGAACTGCTCGAATGAGGCAATATTCGAATAGTAAAATTCGAATAGTGGTATTCGAATAAACGTGCACCGTCGAATATTCGAGTAATCTCTGGCTGTCGAATATTCGAATGATCGCTCGTGTTCGATTACTCAAATATTTGCAGTGCGGGAATTCTTATATAGTTTATATTATTAGGTCGCTAGACGGATCCACATTCGTTTAGGGATTTCAAGCAAAATTTTGATTTGCTCCAACGGCTTAAATATATTTATGTGAGGAATATTCGCAAATTATTGCGATTACCATCTAAGCCAATTGCAATGCCATTGAAAGGTGACCGGCACAGTTTTCAGAAGAATATATAATATATATAATAGAATCGATAATATAAATTATAGTAATTTATCGCGATGTTTTTCCTCGCCCCCGTAGTGCTCCTCTGAAAACACCGATAACGGCATTAAACAATAGAAATTAGTAGCACAACTTAATTTGAGTGAAGATGGGGTTATGCCGAGCATACTGCAAAAGTTTTTAGCATACTTTGTTACAAACTATGTCTAAAAACCGAGTACGTTTTCTCATGAGTAGGGATGTCATAAAAAATAAACGATTAATTAATCATATGATTAATCACAAGCAAAAAAAAATGATTACAATTAATTGCCGTTATTGGGAAATAATCGATGAATCGAATTTTTAAAGGAACTTTTTACAGTGAGTATTCACAAAAATATTTTTCCATAAAAAATTTTGAACTCACTTGTTAATTAACCTTAAATGAAATCAAACGAGTATTTTTAGCGCCGATAATTATTTATCCATTTTTACAAAAACAAAAGTTTTGATAAGTGTTTTGTTGTTAAGCGGTTGCGTTTCTCGGTGGCTGTAAAACCAGCTTTTGAAAAAAAGGCGCTTAACAGGCACCGGGGTATCAACTAAATGGCAGTTTGTTTTCGAAAGTCCGTTCGAAAGTTTTGGGCAAACAGTTCTAATTTCCTCAATGTTGACCAACTTGCCTACCTACGGCTTATTTACAACAAACTTCTAGCATTTGACCAACTGGTTCGCCGATAAA